TCCCGTGTGGGAGCGCGTGAGGTGAGAAACGCCCGGGCCTCGCCCGAGGGCCTGTGAGGTGTCTGTGCCGTGCCCAGGGCGCTGCACGTAGCCCCATTCCTCATTCCGCTTGTCCTCGTCCCCAGCCCCGGTGTCCCCGCATGGCGGGTACTTGAGCACAGTCCTCAGCCCTTCACCAGGGTTTGCCCCGCGGCCCAGGCCCCAAGCACAGGGGAGCAACAAACACTCAGGCAGGGCCTGGGATCCTGATTTTTCACTGTCGGGAGAGAAACTTCCCAGTAAAGCTGGACAGGCTGATTGGTTGGCTTAAGGAACAAGGGCATAGTTAGTATTTCTGTAGCTTTCCAGCCAGCTAGGGCCTGGTGGCAGATTGACGTGCAGCCCAGCCCCACGCTGCAGTACCCTCCTGTCCAAACTCTCCGTCTCTTCCAGAGCTGCATTATAAAGCGCTACTGTGAGAAGAGGTTCGTTCCCAAATACCTGGCGACCATCGGCATCGACTACGGCGTCACGAAGTGAGTCCCGCTGTGGCGGGGAGCCGTGTGGCCACAGGAACAGGACGGCCCCGCGGGGTGGAGTGCAGCACCCTGGAGCCTTTCCCACTTCTCCTTTCAGGGTGCAGATCAGGGACCGGGAGATCAAAGTGAACATCTTCGACATGGCCGGGCACCCGTTCTTCTACGAGGTGAGGCAGACTCGGCCCTTGGCAGCCTCTGGGGAGGATGAAGGTGCTTTAGTGGGAAATATGCATGTAAAAACAGTGCCGATCCCTTCAGTAGTTGGGCTTGAGGTTAGGAATCCCAGGAGCTGGCCTGGGATCCTTGATCCCAGCGCTGCTGGCACCTGGACACATGAGCCCTGAGGTTGGCAGCCAACTCCAGCTGCTGTCCCGTAAACACCCTGCACATGCACAGACAGACACGCTGCGGATCCCTGCAGGTACAAAGAGATACACAAGGAGACAGGGCAGGCTGTGCCTGGCTGGACAAGTGTGTGACCTGCCCCTTTTCTCCCCTTATCCTGCTGTTTTCTCACGCTTGAAAACGCCTTGGTTCCACCCTTGCCTGCCTTTATTGCCTCTCCTTAGTGTCTCAGGAGTCTTGTACAGTGCCAAAGTGTGATCCCCTGCACCCCATAACGAATCCCAGAGCGAATGAGGAAAGACTGAGCGAGCGGGGCCTGTTGAGCCTGGAGAGGAGAAGGCTGAGAGGGATGTGAGCAACATGGACAAGGACCTGAGGGGAGAACGTAGGGAGGATGGGGCCAGGCTCTGCTCGGTGGTGGCCGGTGACAGGACAAGGGGTAACGGGGACAAGCTGAACCCCAGGCAGCTCCATGTCCATGTGAGGAAGAACTTCCTTGGTGTGAGGGTGCCAGAGCCCTGGCACAGGCTGCCCAGAGAGGCTGTGGGGGACGCCTTTCTGGGGAGGTGCAGCCCCCCCG